GTCTCCGGTCGGCGGCAGCGACATGACCGACGGTGGTGGGATGCGTCTTCAGTCGGGCTGCGGACTGCCGGCGGGGAGAGAAGGAGGAGCGATAGAAAGTGAAAGAGGAGGGAGAGGAGAGGAGAGAGGAGAGAGAAGAGAGAAGAGAGAAACGGGGAGAAGAGAGAGAGGAGAGAGGGGAGAGGAGAGAGGAGAGAGAAATTAGTTTTTATTTAATGAGTGGGACCCACTGATATTGTTGTTTGATAAAATTAGCTCTTCTAGCTATTTATTTAGTCATGATATAATAATCTATTTACAGTTTTGTCACTCCAGATTTGACCTTTTAAATTAATTTTGACTTAATTATGTTCATTGATCGTACCGATCCGATGGTAAATAATCATTCTTATTTCTTTCATTATCTATCATTCTCATATGATCCCTTCTCTATATATATATATACATATATAGGGTCGCGCTCTGGTGAGAATGGTGATCAGTGAAAGAAATAAGAATGAATCTTATCCATTAGATCGGATGATCAAATGACTAAAAAAAAATCAAAATTATATATTCATTAAGGGTAAATTAGACATTACAATTACACATCACCATCCAGTCACCTAACTAGCACTGTCAAAATGGGCCATGGCCCGCGGGCTGGCCCGTTCGTCCGCCTAAATGGACGAACTTGGGCCTTTGCTTTGGCCAGCCCGTTCAATCGCGGGCCTATTTGGCCCGCCCCGTTCGTCCCGCGGTCTAAAGCGGGCCGGGACAGGCTGGCCCGCGGTCCAGTCCGTTTTTTTATTATTTATTTATTTGTTAATTTTATATTATTTAAATTTAGTATTTCTTATTTTACTTCTATTGATGGACTTATTTATTTTGTTGGATTTTGTCTTTATCGTCTTTCTTTTTTTCTTCTTCTTCTTTTTCTTCCATATTTATTTATTTTATATTTTTTAAAATTTGACAATGATATCAAGATTTGTGAATGCACATGAAACACTTTTTTACATAATAAAAATATTAATGAATCAAATAATATTTTATGTGAATTAAGTCTCTCCTCCGCGTGAATACTCTATAATTATTCATAAAAAAAATAAAAATAAAAATTGGATGACAAATATTTAACATCATTACACATGAAGCCTTACTAATTTATTAATATACTAGTAAATATAAAGATAAACAAATCAAAAAGTATATAAGAATACATAATACCAAAAATCCCGCGAGCGGGCCGATTTGGCCCGCGGGCTATTGAGGGCGGCCACGGGCATGGCCCGCCCGTTTGAACCGCGGGCCGGAGCGGGCTAGACAGGTCCGGCCCGTTTGACACTGCTACACGTAACACACACAAACACACGCACACACACTGCACACACCTCTCTCTCTCACACACACACACACACCAACACACACACACAGAGAAACCTAGAACGGCGTACCCCACAGGCCACTCTACACAGCACCGCCGCACCGGCCGATCCGGCCGCCGTCGCCGCTTGCCGATGTTAGAGAACGCCAGTGCCGTCGCCGCCCCCGCCCCTTTTTTAGCCACCGACCCCCACCGCTCAAATCCGACGAGAAGTTCGTCTCCTCCGGCGAGACACACGGCGGCGGCGCTTGTACCTGACGGTCGGCATACGTCACACCGGCGGCGTCGGAGATGTCCTCACGGCCGGCGTCGCGGAGGATTGTTCTGGGAAGGACGAGGACGCGCACACACCACACCTGCACACAAAACACGCACACACCCGCACCTGCACACAAATGCACCCAGCCGCTCCAGACAGCAGACCACCACCGTCCAGATGCCGCCGGCAAAGACACGGCATCACACACAGACACAATTGACCACACACGGTCTGACCACCCATCCCCGACCCAGCCGGCAGCGCCATTACAGCCAGAATTCAGACATCGTTGCAGCCCCAGCAACCGCCATTAGCCGCCGCACACCACCATACACCGCCACACACACATGAACACACACGCCTGAATACACAAGGAAACACACACATATACACACACGAACACGCCGAATCGGATTCCCCCAATCTCCGTCAAATCGGAGATCCCCAATCTCAGCTGAATCGGATTTCACCAATCTTCCAGGCCGCCGATGATTTTCTCCCCTGCGGCAGACGGAGCGGTGTGCGGGCATTCAGATTGGGAATTGGCCAATCGAGATTGTTCTTTTTATAAATTTGATTAATGCTAGGGACTTAATTGAAATTTAAGAAATTTTAATATATTTCAATTTAGTCTATGGGCTAAATCTATAATTTATAAGAATTCAAAAAAAAATTATTATTGTTTAATAGCTTCTATACATTTATAGTAAAGTAACTAATAAATATATTGAATAAAAATAATACAAAATATAAAATTATAAATATTTTTATAATATAAATAATAAATTATTTCAAGTATTTAGGTAAATTCGTTTGACCAATCTATTAAACTATTTTTCTGGCTCGGTTTTGATTTGCACATAAAAATATCTCACTGCAAAATGCACCCTAGTGACTTTCAAGCTGCACATTAATGATAGAATGAATGCACATTAATGTGCTTGAGAGCGCACATTAGCATAACAATGTGTGCATTTTCGCCATAATTAAAATTTATGTTATTTCAGCGCAGTTTCGGTTTTATTTACAAAAAAAAATACAAAAAAGAAAAATAACATAACTGATTGAATTATATAAAAAATATTATTTGTATATCATATCTGTATATATATTATTTTTTTGAAAAATCAATAATATAAAGTGTTAAATAACTAAATATTATTACTAAGTAAAATTTTATTATATAAATAATTTGATTAATGCACAATAATGTTAATTAAAATACATTATGTACATATTTTTTAAATGCACAATAGTGTTCGGTTTCAATTTGGTCGGGACGAAAATTTGATGCGTTCACACTGCACATTAGCGGGCGAAATATTGCACAATAGTGTTATACAAATTGCACTTTAGTGTTCGTCTTATTGCACTTTAAATTTTTTTAAAATTGAAAAACATATAAAGCATACCCCACTCAGTAAACTACACAATAAGCTTATACTAAAATGCACATTATTATATGTGAGAACGTACATTATCGATTCTGACGTTTTATATAATTGGCTTTTTCAATAAAAAAAAGTATTTTTAATAATTATGTATTTTTAAAAAATATAATAGGATTTATAATGTGCTTGAAAATATACAATATTGTGCAACTCATGTGTTATTAATGTGCAATATATTGAAACGTTATATTAAATAACTAGTTTCATTTAAATATATTGAAACCGATATTAAACAAAATTATTAAAACACTAATTATGTTAGTAATATAAATAAGACATTATTTCAATTATTTACAATAATTCGATTAACCGACCAGATAAACAAAATGATTTAGATCATTTTCAATTTGGGTTGAGACAAAAATTTCGATCGGATCAAGTTGTGAGATAGCGACAGAAACCCTGCATAGTATTGTAAAACGAATTGCACATTAATACCTACAAGACTACACAATAGCGATCGAACCGGATCGATCTAACATTTTTTGGTTCAAATATTTATATGTCGGTTTGTTTGTATGTTTTTATTTTTTAAAATTTTGATTATTTCGACCAAAATAAAAATATAAATTATTAAATAAAAATATTAAAATATCAACGCCACCCGATGAATACTATTATGCATTATGTAGCTCGTTTACATGTTGGCAATTATTTAATTTTTAGTATGCACATACACTTACTCTATTGTGCATTTTATTTATTTTTGGTGTCATTGTACTGCTCAATATTGTGTAATCATTATTTTTTTTAGTAAATTACATATTTAACACATCAATTATGATGTTGAAAAATACTAAAATTCATGAAAATCTATTATGCAAATCCATACAAAAATTATATTGCATTATATACACGTCAATATATTGCATTGTATACACATAAACTAGTTGTCCGTGCACAGCCGGCTCAAATTTAGTCAAAAATTTTGCATAATTTAAATCAATAACAACAAAGCAGTGAGAACATAAGCTAGTTGCATTTACTACGATATTCTAGTAACCACACTACACTGAGTCACAAGCCCAAACAATTTTACACAAAAGATACATGAATAGGAATTTAAAGAGAACAAAGTGACTAAAAAAACAAGGTTGAACATGAAAGCTTGAGAGGACATTTAAAGGAAAAAAAATCTTCCCTTGAATTGAACATCGACCATTGCTAGAATGTTGAAGCAAAATAGTTTGGATTCCTCCAACCCTTTTTCAACTCAACTCTAGTGCTTCACCCTTTTAGATCACTCGGCTAGAAACGTAATTTTATAGCTTTGTTAAGAATAATTGGAGCAACTTGAGATGTTTGAGGATATGCTTTTGCCTCAGAACCAGTATAAGAAGCACTTCAAAATACAAGAATTGAAGAATACATGAAAAAATGCATGCTCGCAACAACATAATGCATAGAGTAATGTAAATAAATAAGAGATAAGGAAACATCAACTATGTTATCCAACCAGAAGTTAAAGACAAGTCACCTTTGACAAAACATATAACTCATCCAGAAAAACAAAAAAGAAACACCTGCAGACATGAAACGGAAGGCTGCGGAGACAGTAACCAATGAACCAAATGAATGGCGATCTTTCCTGCCATAGATAAGAAAAATATCTAAATCAGAAGATCACCATGTATAGATGTGTTGCACACAGAGGCTGATCACATGCATAGGCAAATATAATTTGAGAAACTACCATATCGTAGCAAATCTTCAAATATCAAATTTCCATGAATTATTTGCTTATAAATTTGCTAGTTTTGAAGTGACCTATACAACTTTCATTTTCTATTTGAGCTTTGCAAGAAACTGAAAAGGAGAAGACAAACTATGAAAATTGAAAACCCAAAAGAAAGGAATTTCTCATAGAATGAAACAGTCCACCTTATATTATGCATTATTACTCAAGTGAATTGAAGCATCACCTCATAAATCCTTTAATTAAGTAAGCTTGAAAGTAGAAAAATTTGACTACAAGAACTAACGGATCATACATTAAAGGAGGAAGCAACATGAGGTTAAATCTGGACGCCAAAGCACACTCAGTCAGTCGTCAATCACCTGACTCAATATGAAGCCCAATCGTCTTCTATTACCTTGTTTTCCTCTTTGCATCATTGGCTGGCACGCTCAGTTTGTATATCTGCACACACATTATCACAGGCATCAGAAGAGAGACAAAAATATTTAGGTTAAGTGCAAAATGGCTCTGCATATGTTTTGAAATAAGTTAAAGACCTCATCCCATATCATGGTAAGAAGGTATGTTTGCACTTTTCACTAACCTCTGTATAGAAATTCGGGGGAAAAAACGTGTCAAAATGCGTATGGCTGAAATTCATACGGAACTCGTCTCCCATGTACACGATTACCTGTTCCGAAAGAGGAAAGGAAAAGAAGGCAAAAAGGTTTAATACAAATTTTTTATGATGTCCAACTGCATCCTCTTTAATGATTCTTTTGTTTTTGCAGTCACCTTTAACTTTTTCCAGACGGGCCACGGTAACCTGGGATCAAAGGCCTCATTGCTTCGGCTTTTCTGCATAACAACATCTACTTTTTAATGTAACCATACCCACCGTTCAATCTAAACAAGTTGTGCATCATCCAGAAACATTTTCCATAGCCTTATTATTATATCAATGGATAGAAAATTTTATTACATCAATTTTTTTCTTTGGTTTTACAACTAAACATTAAGATTTAAGAGCATATATTCTTTTTTTCAAATTAAGAAACAACAACAACAACATACCCAGTATATTCCCAACAGGTTGGGGTCTGGGGGGTCAGTTGTACGCAGACTTTACCTTTGTAATTATACAAGGAGGCTGTTTCCGTAGCGACCCAAGGTGCATTGTGCCGTTTGATATATTTTTTTTTTTCTAGAAACTTCACAAATAGAAGAAGCACTAGAATTTAATTGAGCCATTTTGATCTAGTCCATTATTAGCACTATGCCAGGAGAATGGTCAACAATGACTCTTCCAGCTCCATTTGCAATGGACAGTTTTTTTTCAAATTAAGAAAATGAAAAAAAAAAGTATTGGATCATCAAATTCAGAACCTAATCAAATTCTTGATAAATTTGGAGTTTATAAAACAGAACCTAATCAAATTCAATTTAACACTCAAAATTTGCATCATAACAAAAGTAATGCATTTCATAATAGTGTAAATTTGCAACCCATAAGTTGATTTCAAAGAGAAACCGAAAGTAAATATCAGAAAATGTTATCCAAAGTCTCTACTGGTTGCATTTGTGTTCATATACAATGTTACAAACTAACTTAATCAAAAGGAGTTCTAACACAAAAGGATTAAATACACCCAATGGGTGGTAATCGAGGCCCCACAACCTGAGGTCAGTAGCCGTGCTGTTGGTGAAGAGGACATCCCCTGTTCCTGCCACCAGTGACCATGAGAACATTGCCGACGTCAAACTTGATGAAGTCGACAATCTTGTTTCTCTCCAGCTCGAGCTTCATGGTTTCGTTGGCCTTGATGAGCGGCTCCAAGTAGTGGATGGTCCTCCCATCATAGGTGTTGAGGTAGGGAATGCATTTTTGCTGAAAATATTTGTACCCAAAATGGGGTGATATGAAAAAAAAAAATTAAAAAAATTAAAAGAGAGTAAAAAAGCAAGAACCTAGGGGCTAGTTTCTACTTTTCATTTAAGTAAATATAATCACCTGGCAAGTATATTGTTCAAGTCCAAACCTCATACTTTGATCTGCTGTCATAACTTCATCAAGCCTTGTCGAGGATCTACTCGGCATACCATAACCTGGCTGAGGATGTCTTCATATTGGATGTTTAACGGGCGGAGTCAATATTGGAGCTTCATTCGGTGGACGCTGAGGAAAGTTCACACCTCACCTCTTTTCATGAAAAAAATAAACTGTACACTTAGTTAATTTAAGTGCCTAGCACATCTTAACCAGTTGCACAAAAAGCAACAAAATTTCCCACACCCCAGCTTTTGCAAAATATTGTGGCTATCTAACACATCAATTCTCCAAAGCAAGCTGCGATTAAATTAGATCAAATGAAATTAGGATGATATAACTTACCCTGAGGTCCTCATAAGCCATATAATGCTGTGGATATCTCTCTCCAGCCCCACCAAATACCTCATTCCAAGAGCCAAGTAGGGTTAACATTTTATTGCAAATACTTAGGTGTGCTCTGGCACACTTTGCTAGGTACAACTCCTTAAAAAACGCGTGAGGTAAGGAGGTAGAGTATTTTTTTTTTTAAATGGGACATGTGTCCCATTTCTATTGGGTAATGAATTTCAATATCATATTATATAAATTAAATTATCATTCATATTTTGTATCAAAAAATAAAAGTAAAAATACCAAAATTCATAATTTTTCATTCTCTACAAATAGAGACCACATTTGATATTTTTTGGAACACAATTAATTTATCATTTTTTACAATTAATTTATCTTATTGGAAGATTATGACGCAAATCTATAATTAGATGAATATGTTACATAGTAAGATGAACATGTTATAGAGTAAGATGAACATGTCATAGAATAAGATGAAAATGTTACATTTTCACAGATGAAATTTAGATGAACATGTTCTAAAATAAGATGAACATGTTACATAATAAAATGAACATGTTATAGAATAAGATGAACATGTTACATAATAAAATGAACATGTTATAGAATAAGATGAACATGTTACATATGAACATGTTACATAATAAAATGAACATGTTATAGAATAAGATGAACATGTTACATAATAAAATGAACATGTTATAGAATAAGATGAACATGTTACATACACAATAAGATAAACATGTTATAAAATAAGATGAATATGTTACCAAAATGAGATGAACATGTTATAAAATAAGATGAATATGTATTATTTCAATCTGCAATCTGTAACATGTTCATCTTATTTGAAAAATATATTCATCTTGTTATTTAACATGTTCATTATATGTCAGTATAATAAAATAATTACGAAAAAACGAAAAATTAGTTATGTTCAAAAACCTATCAAATGTGGTCTCTATTTATAGATAATGAAAAATTATGAATTTTAGTATTTTTATTTTATTTTTTTAATATAAATAATTAATGATATTTTAATTATGTAATATGTCCCATTTTTCAATTAAAAAAGGAAAATTGGGAATGTGCACTACACTCTCTAAATTTTCTAGTTTTTTGGGGTGAGGAGGCGCGTGCAAATTTGCCCTGGCACACCTAGCTAGTGCTACTGACATTTTATCCCTCACATGCGTATTTGTCTGAAAAGGCAATGAAAACGATAGCTGAGATCTTCAAATACAGCTAAA